TGAGCAGGACACGCTAGGTTCACAGTGCATATGGGCGGAACCAAATGCATTTGAAATTGATGCCCTAAATGCTATCTGATGGCCAACTAAGGAAGTAATGACCGGTGTTGTTATAAGTTACATCACACATGAGTTAACACCTGAGAATGTTGTTGCTCTACTTCTTGTGTGTGTGTTTTTATAGGTTTTATGAATCAACTGGTACAGTTCATTGTCTGATCCATTCAGAGAACTCTATTTTCCCACATTTTTAATGTATAATGACAAAGGAAAAATAAAAGATAGAAGCATATTCATCTTTCTCATATTATATATTCTAACAAATATTCAGTCTGCATTCACCAGTACCAACTTTGTAGAAAATTTCGTTTCACAGCAGCATTGAGAATAAACTATAGACATTTCCCATATACCTCTTGTTCCCACATGTGGACAATCTCCCTACTTAGCTTTCCCCACCAGAGTGAGCATTTGTTACCACTGATAAATCTGCAAGGGCAGTAAATAGATAAACTCTCTAGCTTACCCCTGTGTTCCTCTTTTAGGAATGTGCACTCCATACCTCTAGATAAATGATTAATAACATGTGTCCATCATGACAGTTCAACACAAATTATTTCATGGTCCTGAAAGTTCTCTAGACTTAGGATATTCATAGTCCCTCCTTTGAAACCCACAGGAATCATGGACCTTTTTAATCTCTTCTATATTTCTTACTAGATTCCCAGGTAACTGAGTGGTAAGGAATCTGCCTGCCCATGCACGGCATCCAGTGATGCGGGTTCAATCCTTGGGTCAGGAAGATCCCCTGGAGGAAGAGATGGCAACCCACTCCAGTATCCTTTCCTGGGAAATCTATGGACAGAGGTGAGCCTGGCAGGCTACAGCCCCTGGGATCACAAATACTCAGACACAACTGAGCACACATATGAACATTTACCTACACCAAAAAGTCGTATTGTAAAAATACTAATTTTTGTAGCATTTTCAAATGGGCTTCTTTCACTTAGTAATGAAGGAGGAAACAGACAGAGCTGGACTCCGTCTTAGGCCAGGCTGCAAGCATTAGGCTACACGCATGGTCACCCTCCCGGTGGACTCTGAGCCTTGTGCTCCAGTGTCTGTAGAAATGGCATACCAATGGGAAATCAGATCCCACCCCGCCCCCCCATAAAAGAGCCTCAGGACTTGTACTTGGACTCCGTTCCCTAAAATAATATGCTAATTATCTCTGTAACAGAACAAAGTGGTCAATTCCATTCTGTTTATTGGGATATGACCACAGGCCTGTTGATAAATATCCACTGTTTATTTAGTCCTGTGACCCATGAATCATGGGTTAACTTTGATTGTATCTCTGTTTTACCTTGCCCAGATGAGTTTCAAGGAATTTGGGGAGTTGGGTTTGAGCAAGTACCCTTAGGGAATATAAAGTTTTCACACACACTGTTCGGGGTCCTTGGCTAAGAGGTCCATGGCCCCGCCGGTGTAATAAACTGCACTCCACTATCTGCATTGTCCTTCTGAGTCAGTTTGTTTCCCAGAACGCGTGGCTGCAACTGTAAAATGCATGGAATGATTGTCAATGTATTTTATGCCTTGAAAGCTTAACCTGCAAAAGCTTAAGAACTACCTCTGCGCCTATATTCCTGCTCAGTAAATAAGTTCATCAATACCATTTTTTAAATTCCATACATATCTCTTAAGACAATATTTGCACAAATATAGATATCAGACGTGGACACCGCAGGAGAAGAAGAGGGGGACCAATTAAAAGGGTACCATTGACATATATACACCACCATGGGTAAAATTTTGGAGAAGACTCCTGAGAGTCCCTTGGACTGCAAGGAGATCCAACCAGTCCATCCTAAAGGAAATCAGTCCTGATATTCATTGGAAGGACTGATGTTGAAGCTGAAACTTCAATACTTTGGCCATCTGATGTGAAGAACTGACTCATTTGAAGAGACACTGACGCTGGGAATGGTTGAAGGGGGGAGGAGAAGGGGACGACAGAGGATGAGGTGGTTGGATTGCATCACTGACTCAATGGACATGAGTTTGAGCAAGCTTCAGGAGTTGGGGATGGACAGGGAGACCTGCCGTGCTGCACTCCATGGGGTCGCAAAGAGTCAGACACGACTGAGCAATTGAACTGAACTGATGATTAAAATAGGTAGCTGGTGGGAAGCTGCTGTTTACCACAGGGAGCTCAGCTTGGTGCGCTGTGCTGAGCAGAAGGGTGAAACAGAGACCACGGGAGGGAGCGCCAAGAGAGAGAAGATTTATGTATACTTACGGCTGATTGATGATGTCATACAGCAGAAACAACACAACATTGTAAAGCAATTATATATATATATAATTATATAATTACATTATATAATTATATATATACTATATTATATATATATATATGTCTTAAAAGGAAACAAAGCTAAACAGACTGGGCACCCGGTGGTGGAGAATCCTTCTGACACTGCAGGAGACAAGGGCTTCACTCCTGGTCCAGGAATACTCCACATGCTGTGGGGAGACTAAGCCTGTGCCTCACAGCTGCTAAGGCTGGGCGGGCAGCTTTCTCTTTTCCATGGGCAGGAGGCAAAAGAAAGATGCTCACCACCGCTAAACAATAAGAAATGCAGAACAAAGCTACAGGGATGTATCACCGCATGCCAGTCAGAACAACAATGAGCAAAAAGCCCACTAATACTATCACAAACGCTGAAGGGGCTTGGAGATCAGGGAACCTCCTACATGGCTGGACGGAAGGTAAGCTGGTGCAGTCAGGTGGGACGACCCTGGGGAAGTTCCTTAAAAAACATAACCTCCTGACATTTAAGGAAATGAATTCCATGAAAAGTAGACAAAACGGATTAATTGACAAATTGACAAGTTTTATAGTTTCTAGTAAATCATGTGCAATTCTGAAATGACCAGCTTTGATCTAGCATTTCTAAATTCTCTAAGTTAAATGTGTAAGAATACACATACACTCACATATTCTTTCTTGGTTTTCTCACTGCTAACATGTATACCTTCAGATATTTATATCTTGTATTCAATGTGTTATATAAATCAGATTATTTATATATCTTCAGATATTTATATATTGCATTCAAAGTATGCCAAAGCCATGAGAAAACAGTTCCTTTAAGCCTTACAAGACACATGTGCTAAGAATTATACAGGGTAAGGTTTTATAAATCTTGGTTCAGAATTTTCCCTTCATGGCTTTTGATTGTTACTTTTGTGACTTTGTTAAACTTACATTTGCTTAAATGAGCCCCTGAAAAGTTTTAGCTAACAGAAGAACGAAGGACAATTGCAGCAGGTGAGTTTATGACTCTAGGTCCTCAGAGAATTCACAGCAAGCCTTGAGGGCCCCAGAGGAAGGTCAAGGCTAGAACCAGGCAAAGAAAATTCCAGTACTTGGGGTTGAGACCTGACCCTGGGTGAAGTGTTGTGGGCCCCACAGGCTGAGTGTGGAGGGGTCCATTCAAACAAAGACGAGCAGGATTCTGGTGAGGCCTGAGTTTATCACTGAACGGGGGTCTGTGCAGTAGACCCTGGGATTCAGCAAGACTGCTGGTGTCAAGGAAGGGGTCATCTAGTGCAGGTGCTCACAGGACCGGCTGGTGTGAGTTCAAGGACCTGCAGGCTGCCTGCTCCCCAGACAGACGCTGAGGCAGCAACAGCATGGAGCAGCTCAGGGGAGCTCTCAACACTACTCTGTATGATCCTTAATATAACCACCACAATGTCCAAGTAGATAAAAATGGGAGGAGATACAACATAGAAATGATGGGAAATATAAGAGGTTTAACAGCAGTAAGGAACTAATTTCTACAGATGCCATCCCCCTGTGCTACAAATAGTTTATCATTATGTTACCTATCCTGCAACCTTAAATAGGTGGGAGAGGTTCATGCTGGTGGTGCATTAACCCTTCATTCATTCCACATCAATTGTAACACTGAAAAACCATTCACTTTTATTAATTAAGATACATTAATTTTACACAGATGGAATAAAACCTTTTACAATTGTTGCTTGATCCTTGATTAAAATACACATTTCAAGCTTCTAAAAACTTTCCTGTTTCTCTGATGAAATGATCTGAGAATGTGATTTATATGGTTTACAAAATGGAGGCTAATTTAGTTAACATGGATGGACATTAATTATATTAATATGACTTTTCCAGAAAGTTTTCCAAACTTACATCAGATAGAAGAGAAGGTGTCCTTACTTCAAGCCTGTCAGATAATATGCATGATTTCTCTCTGTTGCTGTTATAAAAATACCTTCCATTTTCATTAACTATCCTTGATTTATGCTTAAAAAGCAATGGACATAATTATTGAAAACTTAGAGCAAAGTTCTGTCTTGCTTTGAATTATTCCCTGAAAGCTTACATCATGGTGACCACAGAGGTGTTTGACATCAGTGACAAATACCTCCATTCAGAGGTTTAGTGTGTATATAACATGACTGTGTAAATTTGGAGAATAAATGTAAATGATTCCCACTTAATATAGAACGGCTTCTCTTACCATTGGGCAACAACCATCAAAAACATAAGTTCATAACACAGTACAAACAAATCACAGCATGTAGTAATTTGAGAGTTGAATTACATTCATTTTGGTTCCTTAATAATCTCAAATAACATTAACATAAACAAGGATACATTAATAATAATTATACCTCTGCAAATATCCATCCCTTAATCTTGTTATCCATAATAACATATCAATTTTGTGTGTTTTACTTATGGAATACTTGCCACAGTGTTTCTGCTTCGAGTAATTCAAAAAGTGGTACTAATGACATGCTTTCTAGTATGAATTCTATGGTATTGAGTTACGTTTGATGTTTGATTAAGCAGTTTTCTACATTTCAGTATGTATTCTGTGATTGTGAGTGAGGTGATGGCTGTGATGAAATGCTTTGCCACATTCCTTACATTTCTAACATTTCTCTGCAGTATGAACTCTCTGGTGTCGAGAAAGACCTGACCTCTGGGAAAAGGCTTTGCCACAGTGTGTACATTTATGTGGTCTCTCCCCAGTATGGATTCGTTGATGTCGAGTAAGAAAAGAATAACGGATAAAGGCTTTGCCACATTCTGTACATTTATAAGGTCTTTCCCCAGTATGGATTTGCTGATGTTCAGTTAAATTTGAACTCTGCTTAAAAGCCTTGCCACATGCTGTACATTTATAAGGTCTCTCCCCAGTATGGACTCGTTGATGTGGAGTTAAAGTTGAACTCTGGTTAAAAGCCTTGCCACATGATGTACATTTATAAGGTGTCTCGCCAGTATGAATTCGTTGATGTCGAGTAAGAAGTGAATAACGGATAAAGGATTTGCCACATTCTGTACATTTATAAGGTCTCTCCCCAGTATGGATTCGCTGATGTGGAGTTAAGGCTGAACTTTGCTTAAAAGCCTTGCCACATGCTGTACATTTATAAGGTCTCTCCCTAGTATGGGTTCGTTGATGTCGAGTCAGAACTGAATAATGGATAAAGGCTTTACCACATTCTGTACATTTGTATGGTTTCTCCCCAGCATGGATTCGCTGATGTTCAGTTAAAGATGAACTCTGATTAAAGGTTTGGCCACATGCTGTATATTTGAAATGTTTCCTTCCTGTATGAATTTTCCTATGTCTACTTAGATTTGGTGAGTTACTAAAGACTTTTCCACATGTATTACACTTGCAATGTTTCCGCTTAGTCTGAATATTCTGCTGTTGAAAAAGTTTTGAAGACTGGTTATCAACTTTACCATAATCATAAGAATTATAAGTCTTCTCTTCAATATCCATACTCTTATAAGTACTAATAGTAAGATTTGAGCTTTGATAAAATATATTCCTACACTTATGATGTTCAGAATTGTTGTCTGAAAATTGATATCCCTGTTGTTTCAGGAGATATGAGTCTTGGTCCACATTATGCCCAGTTTCATTGCCTGAAGAGCTTCTCATTCCATCATGTATACTCTTGTAATTATTGGGGGTAGAGCTCCTGCTTAAGGCAGTCCTCATTTTGTTACACTTGGAAAGTTGTCCCACACTAATTATACCTCCATATGAATTGAACAATGATGGTTGAATGAGGTCTCTCCCATTATTACCAACATTACAGATTTTGGAACAAGGAGAAAATAGTTGTTGGTTGAAGAACAATAAACCCTTGTTAAAGGATCCCTCAAATTGAGTGTATAGGGAATTTCCCCCCTCATTTCTAAGTTTCTGATTTTCAGACATGTTTGAATGTATATTTAATAGACAGCTATGCTCAGAGTATAGGTTTGAATGAGTATTTGCAGTAGAGACTAGATAACTTTCCAGATTTTCCATATTTCCCTTCAGAGAACATGTATGTTTCAACAGATGATGTGGATCTTTGCTGACAAATATACACTTAACTGCAGATGTTGATGACTGAAATTGGTCATCTGAAATTGGTTTTTCCTTATTTGATTCACATCCTTGATTTCTTTTGGCGGTAATGTTTACTTTATGGGAAACTGTACCAACTTCGTTGTGTCCATTATAACATGCTCTCTGCTCTTTATATGCCCTCATAGATTCCCAGGCATTGGTTAAATGTAAATTTCCAAGGTGAAATCTTTCATATATTCCTAGCTTGGCTGTTGGGAGTAAATCTTCTAAGCCTGGCTTTTGGGCCCTCAAATCCTGGGTATCATGAGAAGACACAGCTGAAAGATAGCAAATAATAAGTAATTCTACTTACTATTCTTGGAGAATATAGTCTACAATTTACATAAAATTGGCATACACTTGGCTAGATTAAGCCTAAAACTGGGATAGAAGGAGTCAAGATGGCAGAGGATTCGGAAGACGTGGAGTTCATCTCTCTCTACAAAAGCATCAAGAATACATCTTGAAGTGAAAAAATTCTCACAGAGACCTGTGGAACACGAGCTGAGGACTTCGACACCTGAAAGGACAAGAAAGAGGCCTGAGGAGCCAGGTAGGAAAGAGGGTGATGGAGGAAAGGGAAGAGGAAAAGAAGCAGGATAGGACCTGCAAAACCCTGGGGGCATCTGAAGAGAGGAGAGGTCTCCACATCCAGGGAAGCCCCTCATTGGGGGGAGCTCAGTTGGGACAGAAGGGGAGCCTCTTTCTCTGTGGGAAGAGAACACAGCAACCAGCGTGCAGGACAGAGTGAGACCTGCATGCAGGGTACTGACCTCTGTCCTGCCCAGTCAGCGTGAGAGGGTGTCCTCCGCTGCAGACAAGGGCTGGGTGCTGAAACGTGGCGTTTGGAGAGCAGACCCAGGCAGAGGACTGCGGTTGGCCGTGAGCAGACATCCTGAGGGGAAGGGAGGGAGGGAGGAGCTCTGCAATTGGGATGCTTGTGGAGGAAGCCTGAACCACCAGAGAAGCAGAGCGGCACTGTTGAGTGATGCCTGAAGGGAAGAACCTCCTTGCAGCCTCTCTGCCCCTATGCCTCTCCCTGCTTCTCCAGGCACTAGGAATGGCTCCCAACTAGGTGGGTGATCTCACGACCCCCACAGCTGCTTCCTCCTCCCCAGTCTCCTCCCCACAAGGGTAGACTCATGGGCTCCAGGGGCACCTTCAGAGCACACGCCTGTGGGTGGTCCCAATGTACAGGTGGTGCTGAAACCACAGCTGAGCCCCAAGTCTCTGCCACTAAGCAAGAAAAGCTGAGATCTCTCCTTGCATCTGTACAAACCATGGTGTTACAGCCCACAACTGGCTGGGTAAACTCAACCTCAACAGAACATCTGGATGGAAATGAGGCTCTGGCAGTGAAGACCAGTCTGGCTTTAGCAACTGTAGACTTTATAGGCATGCACATGAGGCATTTGGGCCATGTCACAGTCTACATTGCCCCCATAGCACCACAGTGGGTCCAGCTCCACAATGAAGGTCACCTGGGATATGACTACAGTGGATCTCTGCTGGTGACCTGGTGAAAACAACTGAGAGACACCAGCGTCAAGTGCCAGCATACCCATGGTTCAGGTGTGGCAAGATCAATGCCAAGACAGGGTCATATGAGAGCTCGCACAGTACATGAAAGATGACACGCAGAGCACTCTCCGAGGAGAACATCCCCAGAGAAGCAACACTCAGTGGCTTCCCTCCCCGTAGGTGTGCTCCAGTCCCACTAGGTCAGAAGCACCACAGATCAGAGCAGAGCTAATTTCAGATCTGGGGCCTCTGCTCCACCAATCAGGAAGAACACTCCCCCCCAGACAGTGAGAGCTACAGAGGAAAGGCGAAGTGGCCCTCAAGATCCGGGCAGGCTCTGGTCACAATAGTAACAATCAACCCCCTTTCAAGGGCAGAAGGGCACAAGTCTCTGGACCACCTCACCCACCACGGAGCAGACACCAGAGCAAGAGGAACTAGGATCTGCAGCCTGCAGAACAGAGACCGCAAACACAGAACACTGGACAAGATGAGATGACAAAGGAGTATGGTGCAGAGGAGAAGTCAAGATAGAAACCTACAGGAACAACGAAGCGAGGAGCAGCTGAGCAGTGTAATGAGTAATTTTTGCTTTAAGTAATCAAATTTACAAACAAAACGTCTTCACAAATGCTAATGCCTACTAATTATTTAACCCAATGACCACTCATGTTGCTATCTGATCATATATAGAGCATATAGAGTCTAAAATAGTAAATGCTATTGACCTAGAACTAATCAGAAATACAGGGCATAAACGATAAAGTCCTGGGATGTTTCATAACAAACAAGATGGGTTTAATATGGTAAGAGTTCTTAACAAATCAAATGAGAAGTGAGACTTTAAAAATATGGTGAGAACACAGGGAACTCTACTCAATGTTCTGTGGTGACCTAGATGGGAAGGATATCTAATCAAGAAGGAAAATGTGTATATGTATCACTTATTCTTTCTGTATAGCAAAACTAACATAACATTGTAAAATAGAATTATTGGAACAGAAAAATTTCTTCTTAAAGATTTCTCTATATAATCTATAAGCTTAATAGTGAAGAACAATCAGAAAAAAACACTGTGGGAAATGTTCTAAACTCCTATGTGAATAATTTCTTTAAAAACACTGTGAGTTAAATAAACAATTTCAGCATTAATGAATTGGGACAAATATACTTAACACATTTAATGATAGTTCATATAAAAAAATAGAAACATTAACATAAAATTCAGATTTGCATTTTCTCATTTTAGTGAGGTGTCTTATGCAGTGAAGAAAGGATTTGAGTATGATATTTCTAAGGTCATATGTGTAGTTTCCAGTGGACTGGAAGTTATATGGAAGAAAACAAAAAACATCTCTCCCCAGTATTCCTAGAAGTTTGGCAGTTTTTTCAGAGCTCCACCCACACACTTCTGACAAGGGACAGAAGCAGCACTTTTAAAAGGGCTTCATATAGTTGCTCAGAAATATGCAGATTTTCCAAAACCTCCCCAAAATGGATGAGTTATCAAGTCATGCAGGTTGTTCCAGGCCAAGACAAGTATTTTGGTTCTAACTCTGAATGTTAATATTAATAACTGGAGAAAAATACACAAATGATAAAAAGAATCAGGAATGTGTTCAGGAGATGACGCTCTATGACAGTGACAGACATAAACCTAGCCTAATCCAAAATCGTCTCCACTGAAGCATATCTTCTCAAACCACACGACAAAGTATGACTTCCTCCCCAAAGCTTGTCCCTCTCACCTGAGTTATCTGCTTCAGCCATAGACACATACCTGGGTGTATGGCTGTATCCATTCTCCTTACATCCCAGGGACCATTCATTTGCTCCAGAAACGTGACCAGGTCTGGCTTAGAGACCACAAGACCTGTTCATCAGAAAATGGAATATGTGTTTTCTGAGATATTAATGAATTTCTAATCCAATATGTATTCAGCTGAGAGAGAAGTCAAGGTAGAAAGTTAAAATAGAACTAAAAAAATTATTTCACAAAATAGTTTATTGGAAGCATCTTTAAAAGACAAATGCATCAAAATCAGACTCTGATATTATGCTCAAGTACTACTAAGGCAAAAGCAGGTAGTGGAATTCCAGTTTTAAGAGAAGAGTGGCACTATTTGATACCACAGAACTTACAGAGTTACAACGAACCTACAATGAAGTATATGCAGGTGAAGAAACAACAGTTAGAATCGGACATAGAACAGTTGACTGGTTGCAGGTTGGGAAAGGAGTACATCAAGGCTGTACATTGCCACCCTGCTTATTTAATTTCTATGCAGAGTACATCATGCGAAATGCTGGGCTGGATGAATCACAACCTGGAATCAAGATTACCAGGAGAGATATCAACAACCTCAGATATACAGATGATATCACTCTAATGGCAGAAATTGAAGAGGAACTAAAAAGGCTCTTGATGGGGGTGAAGAGGAGAGTGAAAAAGCTGGCTTTACACTGAACATTCAGAAAACTAAGATCA